ACGGACAAGCCGAGGGAGGGTCGCTGATGTCTCGACCCCTGAGATCCGACGTCGCGAGAACATGTTTCGTCAGCGGCGAGGCGGCGAACTCCGCTCCAGCGAGAAGCTAGAGCGGAGCACAAGCTTGCGAATTGGCCGGCGGGCAAGGAGAGGGGGGGACGGCCGAGAGGGAGAAGGGACGTTCAGACGCCGAAGAGTTCGACGATGAGCAGCCGGGACGTCGCGAAAACATGAAGCATTGCGAAAACTCATAACTGGATTCCTGGACCACATTGTTCTTCGGCATTTTTCAAGCTGGCTCGAACTGTCATAGTCCCAGGGCCCGAAACGAAAACAGAAACGCCCGCTGTGGAAAATGGCAACGCCCGGATCTCAGGGCTGTCTCGACTGGCCCTCCTTCGACTGGTCTAGGCACTGGTTTAGTAGAGGCCTCCCAGATGTGTCTGAGGGGTCTGAGTAGATGGGGAGGATCGCGCTGCATCGTCAATGTGTCGCCGATGCATCGGCCATGCGTTGCCGATGCATATGCGCATATGCGACGTCGGCGATGCATCGGCGCTGTCGGCGTGGAGAAACTTTGCTTCAGCATCCAGCCGCTTCGTCGATGCATCGGCGATGCGGCGCGATCCTTCGACCCCACTTACTCGGGGATCCCATCTGGGAGGCCTAGATCTATGTAGCTCCCATCGTACTTAAGGACCACATTCCAGAAATGAATTCGAGAACCCAGAAACGTGTCGAAGCAGTGTCGAACGAGTATCGCCTCCTGGGGCCGACACGTGAAAACCACCCAGTTTCGACATTTTCTTGGTGCTCGAAATTCTTGCTGGTGGCCAAAGCTAAAGTAGGTTGGAACAAGCCTAGATTGGCGGACCCCTCCCGACCTGATCACTTTCTTAGGGTAGACGGCTCAGGGTGAAATCCATGTGGGCTTCTGCACCTCGAAGATCAATCCGTCTGGTGATCCACCTTTCAAAAGATTCGAGCCTCGAAAATCCATCGAAACGTCACTTCGGATTTCACCCTTTGCCCTCCACCCAACGAAAATGCTCGGCCGACGTGGACCTCCAGAAGTCTGGACCACTCCGCGTGAGCGGCTCTTCGTCCCGAGCCGTTTGCCGACGGTCCCCAGGCCCGCCTGCAGGCCCGCCCGGAGGCCGAACATACCGACGGGGTGGATTGGACCGGACACCCGCGAGGGCAGACGACTCCTCCGACGGCAACGTGGCCCCAGAACAACCAAGGACGTGCGGGTTGCCCAGGTCGGGATTTGCGCAGGACACAGGGGGCACCCTCGGCCTGGCACGGTCGACCTGCTGACCAAGGGCCGACCGTATCCAAACACCTCCCGCCGTGTTTTTCCGCTCTGACACGACACAACGGGGCCAGACTTCTCCGTTTTGCCATCATCATCACCACCACCATCATCATCATCATCACCATCACCATCACCATCACCATCATCATCATCATCATCATCATCATCATCATCATCATCATCATCATCATCATCATCATCATCATCATTACCATCATCATCATCATCATCATCATCATCATCATCATCACCATCATCGTCATCATCATCATCGTCATCATCATCATCATCATCATAGCCATCATCAACATCACCACCAACACCACCACCATCATCATCATCACCATCATGATCATCATCGTCATCAGCAGCATCATAATCAGCATCAGCATCAGCATCAGCATCAGCATCAGCATCATCCACATCATCCTCATCCTCCTCATCAGCATCAGCATCATTAGCATTATTAGCATCCTCATCATCACCAGCATCAGCATCACCATCAGCATCCTCATCATCAGCAGCATCAGCAGCAGCAGCAGCAGCAGCATCAGCATCAGCATCAGCATCATCGTCATCATCATCATCATCAGCATCATTATCATCATCAGCATCATCATCATAATCAGCATCATCATCATTTACGCAGGACACAGGGGCACCCTCGATCTGGCACGGTCGACCTGCTGATCCAGCCGTGTGTTCCGCTCTGACACGACACGAGGGGGCCGGACTTCTCCGTTTTGCCATCATCACCACCATCATCATCATCACCATCACCATCACCATCACCATCACCATCATCATCATCATCATCATCATCATCATCATCATCACCATTATGATCATGATCATGATCATGATCATGATCATGATCATCAGCATCAACATCATCATCATCAACATCATCATCATCATCATCATCATCATCATCATCATCATCATAATCATCGGGGGTCGGACTTCTCCGCGGCGCCTTTGTGCCGGGCAGCTTGCAGCCCATGGAGAGCCTGCCGTCCTTCATGTCGCCGAGCTCGGCCAGGACGCGGCCGTCCGCGCGCGTGAGGCGCGCGAGGCACAGGGAGACCACGCGCAGCACCCGCCCCTCCTGCTCTCGATCCCCTCCCCAAGCAGTGCTTACACTCACGTGGGGGACTCTCGCTGTGCTTCCTCATGAAGCTGTATGGAAGGCGCGCGTGGGCGCCTCGTGGGCGCCCCGCGCTTGGCGGGTATGTGTGTGTGCTCTGAGCGGGCCCGGCTTCCGCCTCCCTCCCGCCACCGCCGGGCGCCTCCTCCTTCCCCCCTCGTGCGCCGCGGCTGAATTCGCGGTCGTATGCCCTACCAACGCCCTATCCGCCAGCGCAGTCCTTCTGCCTAGCCGCCGACGCAAAAGGTGTGTGTGTGTGTGTGTGTGTGTGTGCGGGTGTGTGTGTGTGTGTGTGTGCGGGTGTGTGTGTGTGTGTGTGCGTGTGCGTGTGCGTGCGTGTGCGTGTGCGTGTGTGTGTGTGTGTGTGTGTGTGTGTGCGTGCGTGCCGGTGCGTGTTTTTAGGCTGGAGTGCCCCTCTCTGACAGCTCCGGCGGACTGCCTTTTCCGATCCTGGCGCTCTTCCCAGGCTCCCTCGCGTCGTGGTGTGTGCCTGTACGTGTTGTTTGGTTGGAGTGCCCCTCTCTGACAGCTCTGGCGAACAGCCTTTTGCGATCCTGGCGTGCTTCCCAGGCCCCCTCGTGTCGTGACCAAAAAACGTAGAAAGGATTTTTGCTAGTTATTTTCGGCTTCCGAGGACCTCTACCGGGCCCCGGGACCGTCAGCAAACGACTCAGGATGAGAAACCAGTCCCAGGGAAGGGATCCACACCTCTTGGGGTCGGCAACTGTTCTTTTTGTGTGCGTGCATGTATGTTTGTTTTAACGGAAAGTGCCCCTCCTGAGAGCTCTGGCGGACCGTCTCTTTCGACCCATGCGTGCTTCCGTGGATCTTGGCATCTGGGAGCCGCAGTCAAGCTTGAGCAGGACCCTGAGATCTGAGCGTTGCCGTTTCTTCACACTGGGCATTTTCGTTTGGTTTCGGATCCTGGGACCATCACGTATCGATTCAGCTCGATCATGAAGCCGAGAAATGGGGTCTCGGGCTCCGGTAATCCGCCAGCCCCCTTGTGGGGCCACCAGGCTGTAGGGCAAAGGTTCGCAGTTTCCTGTGCCAGTTGCAGCTTCCAGTTTCCACTGTTACAATTCTGCTTCTTGCTGCTTGCTGTTCCTTGTTGATGGACCGCGCGAGGGGGGGGAGGCCCAAACGGGCAGGTTTAGCACGCCCTGAGCGTGTGCTCTGAATTGCTGGGGTGGGAACAATTGACACCCCTCACGCAGATCGGCGGGGTCAGGGTCCAGAAGCACAAAGGATTTGCTACATTTCCGAAATTCGGTGGCCCCCCTCACGCAGATCGGCGGGGTCAAGTTGCAAACACACAAAGGGTTTGCCGCATTCCTGAAATTCGATGGCACCCCTCGCGCAGATCGGCGGGGTCAGGGTCCAGAAACACATACGATTTGCTACACTTCTGAAATTCGATGGCACCCCTCACGCAGATCGGCGGGGTCAGGGTGCAAAAACACAAAGGATTTGCAACATTTCTGAAATTCGATGGCACCCCTCACGCAGATCGGCGGGGTCAGGCTGCAAAAACAGAAGGGATTTGCTACATTTCTGAAATCCGGTGGCACCCCTCGCGCAGATCGGCGGGGTCAGGGTGCAAAAACACAAGGGATTTGCAACATTTCTGAAATTCGATGGCACCCCTCACGCAGATCGGCGGGATCAGGGTCCACAAATACATAGGATTTGCGACATTTCTAAAATTCGATAACACCCCTCACGCAGATCGGCGGGGTCAGGGTCCGAAAACCTAGGGGATTTGCAACATTTCTGAAATTCGGTGGCACCTCTCACAAGGACCGACAGGGTTAGGGTCCAAAAACATATGGGATTTGCCATATGTTTGAAATTCGGCGGCACCCCTCACGCAGATCCGCAGGGTCAGGGTAAAAAAACACAAAGGATTTGCAACATTTCTGAAATTCGGTGGCACCCTTCACGCAGATCCATAGGATCAGGGTCGAAAAACAAACAGGTCCCGACACTGCTTCACGGCGGCGCCCAGACCTCATTATTTGGCTTTTGCATCTCCTATTATCCGAGACAGGGGGCCGGCGGCATGGGGCGAAGCCCTTACGCATAATTTTTCGCGATGTTGCACTTCCTCGCAACGTCGGATCTCACGGGAGCTTCCTTACCTTTTGTTCTATACTATCTTCGGCCGATGCCCCGTCTAGGCGTGGCCTCTTCGCGGAGCCGCTGTGAGGCGGCGGGCCCATCATCTCAAACGTCTGGAATGAGCAACTGCTCCCAGGAGAAGGGGTTGGGGCCTCTATGGAGGCCCCGAGATGGAAAAGAAACACTTCGTCGGATGCCCGGGGGCCCGACTGCGTGGTGCCCTCAGATCTCGGCGGAACAAGAACATCGCGACGACACTGTTTCAACGTTTCCGGCCCCTGGGGACGGGTTCCCGATGCCAGGGCCGCCAAGACATGCGTAAAATTAGGTCGGGCATGTCCCCCTACAGGAGGGTTTTGGACGAAAAATTAAGAAGACCCCCAAAATATATGCAATAAATGCTCAAACACTCGTCCCCAGACTATTTTCTCTCCATGTTTGAATAGTCCTCCTGTAAATTTGGACGCCCGAAATGGGTACCGAAAGAATGGGTACAATGCCCAACAACAAATGTTGTCCCAAACCAACAGCAGCCGCTGTTTGGCAGGCGGCCTTCTGTCTCGAATGGACACAGGCCGCGGCGGCGCGGACAGCGAGTCCTGTTCAGAATGAACAGGAACTGCTGTTGGGCATTGTACCCATTCTTTCGGTACCCATGTCGGGCGTCCAGAGTAAAGGGACACGCCCGACTCGAGCCCAAACGTGGACAGCCAGCCTCCGGGACGGGGTGTCGAGATCCGCGGGGGCCCGCGTCGCAAGCAACCATTCGCCCCCGGCGCGACTCCCATCGGATGCGCATCAATGACTACTCCAGATTTCGTAACAAAAGGGAGGGGGTCTCATTTCGGGGGGGGTCTCATTTCGGCTATCTTGGAGGGCCTGGGGGGGTCTGGGGACGGTGTTTTGGAGGGTTCTCCCACGGGGGGGGGTCTGAAATGGCTTGTCTTGGAGGGTCCAGACCCCCTCCCTTTTATTACGAAATCTGGAGTACTCCAGATGTCGTAACAAAAGGGGAGGGGGTCACAACCCTCCCAGACGAGAAGTTTTAGACCCCCCCCGAGACCATCCATGAAAGGGCGGCCCTCTGCCCAGACCCCCCCGAACCCTCCAAGACGGCTCAAATCAGACCCCCCCCAAAAATGTGACCCCCCCCCCCCACTTTATTATGGAATCCGGAGTAAGCAGCGCGTGCAATGCTTTGCTTTGCTTGGCACCTTCTTGCCTTGCCTGGCATAGCTAGGCATCGCTGCGCGGCGCTGCTTTGCATTATGGCACGGGAAACGCAATGAGAAAACAATACCTAGCAACCCGAGGTAACCAATGCTGAAATAAGACCAAGAAACACGGAACATGCAGTGAGAAAACAAGAGCAGACTACCCGGGACAACATCAAGAAAACGATGCCAAACAACCCAGGGAATGCAGCAAGGAAACAAAACCAGGAAACCCAAGGGGGGGCAGTAAGCAAACAAGACCAAGCACCCCCAGGGAGCGCCACAATGAACAAGTAACACCAAACAATCCTGGGGGACGTCAGCTGGCGCAGGCCTGCACCCACCGATTATTCACACAATAGAAGCCCTGAGGCAACGCCAGAACCGGGAAAATGCAACGCCGCAGAGTGTGTGTGTGTGTGTGTGTGTGAGAGTGTGTGTGTGTGTGTGTGTGTGCGTGTGCGTGCGTGCGTGCGTGCGTGCGTGCGTGCGTGCGTGCGTGCGTGCGTGTGTGTGTGTGTGTGTGTGTGTGTGTGTGTGTGTGCGTGTGCGTGTGCGTGTGCGTGTGCGTGTGCGTGTGCGTGTGCGTGTGCGTGTGCGTGTGCGTGTGCGTGTGCGTGTGGGGTGTGTGGGGGTGTGTGGGGGTGTGTGGGGGTGTGTGGGGGTGTGTTGGGGTGTGTGGGTGTGTGTGGGGGTGTGTGGGGGTGTGTGGGTGTGTGTGGGGGTGTGTGGGTGTGTGTGGGTGGGTGTGGGTGTGTGGGGGGGGGTGTGGGTGTGTGTGGGTGTGTGTGGGTGTGTGTGTGTGTGTGTGTGTGGGTGTGTGTGTGTGTGTGTGTGGGTGTGTGTGTGTGTGTGTGTGTGTGTGTGTGTGTCTGTGTCTGTGTCTGTGTCTGTGTCTGTGTCTCTCTCTCACTCTCTCTTTCTCTCTCTCGTTCTCTTTTTCCCACCCTCACAGAGCTGCTACTCCGCTCCATCGAATCGAAGGCCACTTCTGCGGTTCCTCGGAGGAGAGCGGGCATCCCAACGACTGGGCAACTCCGCCCCTCCCCGTTAGAGCTCGCCTGTGCAAATCGCGACACGTTCCGCTACCGATTCCCCGCCTTCCCTTCCCTCGCGCCACGCTTCGCACTGGCGCCCGCTGGCCCTCGTCGCTCCCCCCTCCCTCTCTCTCTCTCTATATATATATATATATATCCGATGTCTTGGCTGGGCCAAGGCAGGTCTTCAGAAGGGCCCCCCCCCCAATGGTGGAAACTAGTTATCAAGTCAACACCCTTCTCGACGGACTGGGGTCTACCGATGGTGGCAAAGAACTATTTCTCCGCGGCAACCGCCGCGCAACAACGACAGAGAAGGAGGGGGGGGAGGAGGAAGAGGAGGAGGAGGAGGGTCCTCAAAACTAGAGACTTACCTCGGTTAATCGATACGAGGTCCCTGGAAGTCTCGACCCATTACCTGGGACGGGTTGTTCATCCTGATTTTTTTTCTGATAGCCCTCAGTCCCGATTATTCAAGACGCTGGATGACTGCCCCCCCCCCTCCCCAGGTAACACCCATGTTCACCCGAGGATAGCAGGAGCAGGCTCCTCGCTGATCACAATATCGCACTTGCCCTTCCTCAGCTCCTGCTCAAGCTGGTACAGGTCGCGCCGCGGCTGCATGCCCGCGAGGAAGCCCCAGTGCTGGCTCGTGTCCAGGGCCTCTGTCGGCGCGCACGAAGGGGGGGTGCCGCGAGGGGGGACGACGACCCCAACGACGACCCTGAGATCATGGCGTCGTTTTTCTTTCAATCCATTTTTTCCACAACGGGCGATTTTGCCTTGCTTCGCGCCCCTCGATCCTCACGGATCGATTCAGCTCGAAAAAGGTGGCAGAAAGATTATGTACCTGCTCCGGTTGACGTTTTTGATGTGCATCTATTTTTGGCGTCGAATCTCACAGGATGACGTCGTTTGGCGCAGCTCGAAAAACTGAGCACTGACCTGGACAGATACTAGGAGGGGTTCGGGTACCCATGTTGAGCGGATTTGCTTTGGGTAGCCTTCTCAGTAGGCAGGGTGCATCTTCGAAGAGAACGGAGGCCTCCTGGAACGCTTCGTCGACAGCGGGAGGGCTTCTGAGGAACCCCCTGCCTTTCACCGCAGGTTCGCGTCGCGATGACAGCGGCGCTGGCTCCTGACCCCGTGGATCGTCCAACCTCGAGAGATGGCCCCTCTTCGCGAGCGCAAATCGTTCTGCATCCTCCTCCTCCTCCTCCTCCTCTTCTAGCGGCGCTCAACCTTGAACGCTGGCTCTGCGGTCGCAGTCCCGGCTGGCGCGCCACCGACGCCTTCAGGGCTCCCTGGGAGAGAGCGATGCGGGACTTGAGCGGCATGGACGTGATGATGATGGGCATGTTTTCCACTACCACCACCATAAGTTGGAGGGGGATGGGGGTCCTCCTCCTCCTCCTCCTCCTCTTCGTCCTCCTCTTCGTCCTCCTGCTCCTCCCCCCCATCCAACTTAAGGTGGCGGTGGTGGAAAACAGGCCCATCAGATAATACTCTCGTGGTCTATGGCCATGCGCAGGTCGCTCAACATGCCAAGCGCCTCCCGCCTGGTTGCCGTGATGATCGCCTCTCCGTAGTGCTGCGCGATGGTCAGGAGCTCCTTCCTGCTGCCGAGCACCTTCATCAGGCCGTCCGCGGCCACCGCCAGCAGCTCGCACACGGTGGACGCCTCCATCCAGCCGCAGTGCATCCACTGCGTGTGCAGGGCCAGCTCGCAGACCCACTGGCCCTGGGCCACCTCCTGCACCTGGCCGTTGGTCCTGGTGTTGCCCGTGGCACCCGTGGCGTTCGACCTCTCCTCAGCTGTCCAGGCGTTCGTGTACTCGAGGGAGCCAAAGTTGATGAAGTAAGCACCAGGCGCATCCGTGTCCGGCTCGAAGACGGAGTTGCCTGGATCGTAGTTCATCTGCATCAGTGCTCTCTCGTTGAAGCAGAGATCCTTAATTATACCGCTGTCGACCGCATTGACGGCCCTGATGAACGCATTGCGAGAGAGGCCCGGGCCGTAGACACAGCAACGGAGCTCCGCTCGCATGGCAGGCGACACAAACGCCAAGACGTCGACATCCCCAGCGCGGATGCGCGCCACATTTCCCATGCGCTCGATGGCCTGCTTCTCGATGGGAATGGCTACCGGTGCTTCCACCTGATGCTGGTAGAAGTACCGACGAAGCATCCGCAGCTTGTCTTTGCGCTCTTTGTTGGACATGTTCAGGTCCATGACAGTAGCAGCAAGGGCCGATATGAGAATGCTGAGGAAGAGGAGCCCGAATATGATGAACACGCAGAGGCAAAGAACCTCAGACGATTGGGTCACCTCCATGATGCTGCCTCCCGATATGAGCGCACTGACTGACCAATAATCCGCCGATCCCCACTTGCGGGGGGGTGCAAGGCGCAATCCCCCCTTCCCTTTCTCCCTCCCCTGGGGTCTAACATCCTGTTAGAGCGAAAGGGACGCGTGGGGGACAGAACTATTCAACACTCCCGTGGCCTTCAGATCCTCCAAATCGACACTCCGTGTCCCAAGAAGCAGAATCGTCCCAATTGTTTTTTTGGGTTTTGCATGCTCGCCTTTTTGGTCTTGACACCCTCCATAACTGCTCAAGAGGCCCGTCAGGTCGCCACAAAGCAGCCCAACAAGCCTCCGAGAGAACCTCAAGATGGCCCCAAAGGGCCACTCCTCCTCCTCCTCCTCCACCTCCTCCTCCGCCTCCTCCTCCCCCTCCCCCTTCCGCTCCCCCTCCTCCTCCTCCTCCTCCTCCTCCTCTTCCTCCTCTTCCTCCTCTTCCTCCTCCTCCTCCTCCTGCACCTCGTCCTCCTCTTCCTCTTCCTCCTCTTCCTCCTCCTCCTCCTCCTCGTCCTCGTCCTCCTCCTCCTCCTCCTCCCCTTCCTCCTCGAGAGAGGGAGAGAGAGAGAGAGAGTTGTGACTCGAATTGACATGTCGAGCCCCTCCGTTCCAAGGGGGCCCCGAGACCGCCAGCAGGCGCCTCAGAACCCCCCAGGAGGCCTCGAGAGACCACCAGCAGGCCCAGCAGAAGCTTCAAACGCCCCGAGCATGTCCCCAAGAGGCTCGAAAAAGCCTCCCACGTTGACATGTTCCCTCTCTGGGTGGGTGGACCTCGCGTGCGTGCGTCCTCACCTCCTCCTCCTCCTCCTCCTCCTCCTCCTCATCCTCATCCTCATCATGATCATGATCATGATCATGATCATGATCATGATCATGATCATGAGCATGATCATGATCATCATCATCATCATCATCATCATCATCATCATCATCATCATCATCATCATCAGCATCATCATCATCATCATCATCATCATCAGCATCAGCATCAGCATCATCATCATCCTTCGTCCCCTCCTCCACCTCCTCCTCCTCCTTCTCCTCCTCCTCGTCCTCCTCTTCTCTGTCTCCTGATCGAAGACGCCTACGGCGAATCACCGCCGCCCCCTGCCTTTTTGGAAGCGCCTATGTGGCCGAACGTTGAGGCCAGACCTGCCAAGTTATCGGGCCATGTGTTCCCCGAAGCGGTTTGGAAAGCCTTCGGGGAACCCGTGTGCATCTTGAAGGTCATCTTGTTCGTCTGGAGGCCATTTTGACCATTTCGGGCCTTCTCGGAGGACGTCTTGGAAGGCTCTTGGGCCGTCTTGGAAGCCATCTTGAGCGTCTTGGAGACCTCTTGGGCCATCTTGGGGGCCTCTTGGGGCCGTCTTGGGCCTCTTGGGCGATCTTTGGGGGTACTTGGGCCGTCTCGGGCCGTCGGAAGGCCGACAAAAAAGCAAATGCCACAATCCATCAAAAAACCCAGAGGAAATCAATGACTTCTGGAAGCCCTCTTGGAGGCCTCGTGGACCGTCTTGGGCCATCTCTCCTGGCGTCTGACGCCGTCGGAAGCCGTTTGGGGCGCCTCTCTGGGCCGACCTGGGGCCCTCTTGGAATGCTCCAGGGCCATGTTGGAGGCCATCTTGGGCGTCTTAAAGGCCTCCTGGGCCGTCTTGGGGGCCTCTCGGGGCCGTCTTGGGGGCTCTTGGGCCGCTCTGGAGCCATCTTGGAGGCCTCTTGGGCGATCTTTGGGCGATCTTTGGGGGCTCTTGGGTCGTCTCGGGCCGTCGGAAGGCCGAAAAGAAGCACATGCCCAAATCCTTCAAAAACCTGCGGAACATCAGTGGTGCTTGGCATTTCCTGGCCTTCCTGGAGGCCCTCTTGGAGGCCTCTTGGGCCTTCTTGGGCTAGCTTCGAGCCAACTTCGGCCATCTTGGTGGGTTCCTGGCCCGTCTGACGCCGTCGGGGGCCGTCTTGGGGACTTCTCTGAACCGATTTGGGGCCCTCTTGGGGCGCTTCGGGGCCGTCTTGGAAGCCATCTTGGGCGTCTTGGAGGCCTCTTGGGCCGCCTTGGGGCCCTCTTCGGGCCGTCTTGGAGGCCTCTTGGGCCGTCATGGGGCGCTCTTGGAAGCCTCTTGGGCGATCTTGGGGCGATCTTGGGGGCCTCTTATGCTGTCTTCAGCCGTCGGAAGGCCGAAAAGACGCAAATGCCAAAATCCTTCAAACACGTAAGGAGAATCAATGATTTTGGCTTCGTCGGGCCCTCCTGGACGAGCTCTTGGAGCGTCTGGGAGGCCTCTTGGGGGCCTTGGGCCGTCTTAGGCCATTTTGAGGCTACTTTAGGCCGTCTTGGGTGCATCTTGGGCCGTCTTCGAGGCATATTGGGGCCATCTTAGCCGTCTTGGAAACCATCTTGGGCCATCTTGGGCCATCTTGGGGCCGTCTGGGGCAGGAAACCCGTTTACAACCGGGTCTTCCGGGTGGCCGGCGGGACGCGCCGGAGCCCCAGGGGGAGTTCTTTTGGAAAAGAACCAAAACCAAAACCAAAATCATCTAGCAAACCAGGCACCCCTGTGATGAATCGACAGGGGGCGGCGCATTTCCCAAAATCCAGATCGTCACGAACGGCACTCAAGCCCCGCCTGACCTCGCCCTAGCAAGGTCCAAGGGATTCTCACTTCGTCTGGGGGTCGACGGGATGGCGTACGTACGCCTCTTGGCTAACACAATAAATAATCGAAACCTGGACTGGCATTGTCTATCTCCGTACTGGTGTACCAAGTAGCGATGGCGTTTCTCCCAACGTAGTGCCAGAAACAAGCACCTAAGTGACTTACCCAGAAGATGAGAAAGACTAGCTGCATGACTGTGTTGAAGGCTTGGAACTGACGACTGAGTCCGCGCTCCTGCAACCAGTTCACCACGCGGTTGTAGAACTGGCTCAACCCTCCGCGCTGCAACAGCAACGTTATCATGCGGATGAGGCGGCTGACCTTACATATCCTGGCAACGTTCTCCACTTGGAGACCGAACCCTTCCTTCCCCAAATACTGCCGACGGCTCACCATCGCGAGGACGATGAAATCCGCGACGACGGCAACCAGGTTGAAGCCAAAATCTTTTCTCAAGTAGCGCCAAGCAATCTTATTCAGTCGCATTTCGATGCGACTCTTGCGGTAATACCCGAAGAAGAACCCAAGGAACATATCGATCGTCCACCACACCAAAGTGAAATATGTCCACACGGCGAACCACCCCGTGTACTCGACGCGCCAGGACATCTGGTACGGCACCGCCCAGCAGTCATACGCCGTCATAAAGA